ACACGTGGAGAAAGCAGTTGCGATGCGGATCAAGGATCACGAGTTTGGCCACACCACCGCCGACACGTGGTACTACCATGGCGCCCGATACATCCTCCTTGATACGACAGCTGCCGATGCCGGAGCGAGCCACAACAACGAGGTGGAAGCCTGCGGCCTGCTTGAGGATGGCCGCGAGCCAGCCGATGACGGCCGTGGCCCCTACCGCCGGCTCAAGTACCTTCCAGCGGCCGTCATTGTGCGGCCTATAAGCGGCCACATCCCCGGCACCGTGCTGCAGGGCCTTGGAGACTACGCCAGCAGGGGTGGTGCCTTCATCCTGTCACCCCGGGCGTCTTGCATTGCCGAGGTGGAGATGCCTGCCGCCGGGTATGGCACCATCACAAAGCAGATCCGGCGCCTGAACGTGCCGCTCGGCGACCGCCAGGCGGTCACCGATTACTTCGTGCAAGGCCGCAGCTTCAAAGACGAGTGCTGGCTGGTGGATCTCGCTGTCCCACCCAACGGCATCAAGCGCGCCACCCTGTATGTGCTGCTGACCCGCTTCAAGACGCTGGACCACGTCCGTCTGCTCCGGCCGCTCTACACTACACCGCATGAGCGCAAGAGGATAATCAAGCAGTTCCTCAGCGTGACTAACCTCGAGCCGGACCTGGCCGCCAACCTGCGCCTGCTGAAGCAGGCAGCGCGCGAGACGGAGCAGCGCTATACAGCCGAGTTTGAGCATGCGCGACAGCTGGAAGCGCGGTGGACCCGCCCGGTCCAGGACTAGTTGAGTTGAGTTGAGTTGAGTTGAGTTGAAACCACGACCCGCCACTGTACGGCGTTAAATGACAGCGTCCGGAGTAAGGGGGACACTCCGGACGACACGCTCGCTCCCTACGGGCAGGAATGGGGAGCCGCCCACCAATGTGTGGAGCCCCCTGCGGGTTCGACTCCCGCGCGAGCGCTTCACAGGATAGATCCGCGTGCTAGACTCCGCAATCTCTTGTGTGTAAGTGTGTGTAAGTGTGTAAGCTAAAGCGCGCTGTTCGCGCAAGTGGGCCGTACAGCTTGCGGCCCTTACAAGCACGACACATACTGTCCGCGCAATGCAGGAATT